AAAACCGAATGTCTCCTGAAGCGAATACTGACCTTCATCCAGTCCGGTGACATTTTGACCGGATCTTGCGAGTTGTCACTACATCCGGGAAGTACAACAATGGTACAATGACAAAGGAGTCCCGTTTGTTCCAAAAACCCTCAATCCACCCAATTGTCCCCAGTTCAGGTCCATTGAAAAGTACTGGGCAATTATGAAGAGGAAACTGAAGGTAAAAGGTACGGGCATCAAAACGGCAGCTCAGATGAAAAAATGGTGGCATAATATCGCCAAAACAAAGGACGAGACGGTTGTGCGTCACTTGATGGGTTCTATTAAAGGAAAAGTTAGAGAATTTCTTCGAATTCACGACGAATAATTCGTTTTGTTTCTTTTTAAATAGGGTTAACTACCCCATTTCCGGCATATTAAGCACAACCCGCACCTAGTCTTTCTTAATCTAGCGCATTTTAACACCAAACGGAATGTTATTATTATTGATGGCTTCCAAATTTATTTACCTTTCCGTACGTACCGTAAGATTTGATAAAGAGAAACCAATCGTTGAGATATTGTCAAAAGTCTAACACTGCTTCTTGACGCCAAACTCGGCCTACGGATTCATGGATTTGTTTGATTTTTTCTGCTCTATAGGCCCAAAATGGATTAGGCCGAAGTAGTTCTCTACCTATAAGAAACAGTGTGCACATAATTGAAAATCGTTTTCAAATTCGTTAATTTAATTCCGAAATAGACCTATGTAAATGATGTTCTTCCATTGCTAAGTGGACCATGTTCAAGTCCCCGGCAAGGTGACAGATAACCTTAGTTTCACGTACCCACTTGGAAATAATATATGTAGCCACACAACGTAAACAAAAGGATTGATTGATTTATCTTTATTAAGGTAAACAAAAGGACTGCCCTTCACCACCGCAACGGTATTTCTCTATGGGAAACCAACTTTTTGTTTCACCATGTGTGGATGTCAAACAAAAAGCAAGAATGCCATATGAAAAGAGCGAAATAATGATTTTCGTGGTGAAGTGACATTAATTCAAACAAATTAAAACAGAATGATGGAGGTCTTTCTTGTATAATCGAATGGAAATACAAATACTTTGGTTACTTCTGTTATATTTTGCTCTTGAATATTATCAGCCTTGGGAATAATGTTTCTGAGCATAGTTGTGCGATGAAGACTTGCAATAAAAAGCCGTATCAATAAAAAGACTTTACGTCCCCATCTTTCTATAGCGGGGCAAAAAAAAAAAATACTAAATTGATTCAGTGAATAGCAGGTTTGCTGTGTGAACACTAACATTTCGTAAATCCATTTAAAAATGAGGAAATAAATAAAATGAATTAAAAAAAAAGAACCCCTCATTTCATCTGTCAAATTTTCATAGCGAATGAAAACAAACATAGTTTAGTACAAGTATTTCGACTAGAATGGGGTACGCTTATAGATTTACTTGGGACAAATAGGCTAGTCAAGTAGTGAACCAATTTAAAATCGTTAGTTTCGACCGGTCGATTGTACTAACTTTGTACTCTTTTAAGCTGTATATTTTGCAGTACTAGCTGCATATAATTATTATGCTCGTACTCGCTGCAAAACCATTCTTTCTTTGTTCATTATCGACGATTATAGCAACAGCTTCGAAAACAACGAATGTATCCTCACTCAATTCTCATTTGTTTCGATTCATTCGATGGCAATCACATATTTTCGTTTTACAAATCATATGTTTAAGTTTTTGGTTTTGTTCTGCTCAAAGACATACGTGGCTATACAAAAAAGATTCAGAAACTAATTATGTATGGGAAATGGCTCTAATGTTGGCCTATGGATCTAAGATTGGGCCCATTCGTAAAAATCTGCAATTTATTAATTTTATCTAGATGAACGCGCCATTTGGACGGTACCAACATAGAGGTTACTCTAAGACTATAGTAGGTCCCTAAGAATCGTGCTCAACTTTTTGGCTCAGCTCTGGTACTATCTTTGGTCCAAAGCTAATCGATTCACCCCTCAAAACATAGAAAAATCCATGAACCCCTCATTTTATCTGTCAAACTTTCATAGCGAATCAAAACAAACATTGTGTAGTACTAGAATTTAGACAAGAATGGGGTACGTTAGTCGATTTTCTTGGTACCAATAGGCTAGTCAAGTAGTGAGCCAATTTTAAATCGTTAGTTTCGTATTGTTTGTTGGCACTTATGTACATTTTTGGTCGCTATTGAAAATCTAGTCGATTGCTGAGTTTATGTATGGGCCCAAATTAGGAGCATTTAGGCCGACATTACATTCATTTCCCCTATATGCAATAAGATTTAAAATTACATTTTATTTACTGTACATCATTTCCGCATTCGCCCTATTCAGATAACACTTCTGAAATTTGTGAATTTGACAGAACCACCAGCACCAAATTTTTGGGGTACACTGGAAATGTACTGGACTTGCTCCGGGTTGGCCATGTTTTAGGAATGTTGAATTCGAACTTCAGCGGTGATCAAGGAATTCAGTTGATTTGATTGTAGAGTTCAGTTGATTTGATTGTAGAATAAGTGATCTTTATCAGCACTGCTTACGTGTCTCATCTTCTGTGTATGTCCGTGCTGCAGCTTGCCAAACTTATTTGTATCCTTCTACCGTGTGGATCAAGCTATGTAGCAGAAGCAATTTTTCATGAAAAAACGGAAGAGTATTATTTCATTATTGCTTACCGTTTCCGTTATAATTTGGCTCGTTGATCGCTTGTCATTTTGAGATATTTTTGATTCCCTGATAAAGATACAGATAGACGGGTTAATTGAGGCCTCCCTCAGTCGGTAAAGGCACAGCTACAATGCAAGACCATGCTGGAGGTGGCTGGGTTCAATTCCCGGTCGGGTCTAGGAATTTTTCGGGTTGGAAAATTTCTCGACTTCCCTGGGCATAGAAGTATGATTGGACTTGCCATACAATTATACTAATACAAAAATGGTACTGGCATCGGAAGCAACCAATTAATAACTGTGGAAGTGCATCTAGAACACTAAGTCGAGAGCACGCAATAAGCTTATATGTGATATGCAATAAGCTTGAAATGCGAAGAAGAAGAACAAGAAGAAGAAGAAGAAGAAGAAGAAGAAGACAGGTTGATCGATGGTGACCTTAGAAATTACCATAAATTCGTCTGAGGTTGTATAATTACGATACTCGAAATCTGAAGAGGGATTTCTTAGCGCAGTTGAGAAGTGTTTTTGAGATGCGTTACGTTCAGGGTTGTTAATGACGTTAACGAATAACAACCCTACACAAAATTCACTATTATATTGGTTATACAAATGATGGAACTCGAACGAGTAACAACAAAAGGTTTCAATGCCTATCAAAATTAATTCTTTCTGGTACATGGTAAACAGATTACACCGTAAATGGTCCAGGACACCTATAGCTGTTCACACTTCTAATCAAATTGATGCTAATTGTTTAACAAATTAACCAATATCCACACAAAACACCTGACATTGGATAAACAAGCAAATAAAATTGACATAGCAAACAAGCAAATAAACTAACGCTAGATATTTCTTAAGTATTTTTAAGTATGTTTGGGTATCTTAGATATCACTAAGATTTTTATATGTATATTAGGAAAAATACAAAGTTTAGAGTGGGATGCTCCTAGACCCTACGTCTCGTTGTCGTCGACTAGTTTGACAGCTGCTAAGCAGTGCTGCAAAATCTCGACAATACACGGTGATGTTGACAATTCTGCTGTGGTCACTCATTTGAGCTAACAGTCATCGTCAAGGCAAACCTTATCAATTGTCAATGCTGTCAGTGACGAACATGTGTAGATTTTTTTTATTAACTAAATTTGTAACGAAATTAAATGTCTTGAGCAACACAATTACTTGGAGCCGTTAAAGTGAACAAGCATCTACGTCCTGAACTGCATGGATAACAATAATGTGACAAAGAATGCACGAAAATACACTTTTTTTCTACAAGGTGAATCTTTGTCATTGACGAAAAAATGAATGCGATTTTGACGAAGGGTTTTTTTTAGGATCAAGTCTATAAGTGACTAGGGGAAACGCTCCTATAGTTGCGGTACGTTAGAAGCGTTAGGTTCCTATAGTTGTGCATGGAGACTCAATACACAACTATAGGACCCTAACGCTTCTAACGTACCGCAACTATAGGAGCGTTTACCCTATGTGAAAAACAATTTTGTCAATATCGCGCGAAAGTCTATCAATGACAATGACAAATATCAGCACTGCTGCTGAGGTCAAAACCACGTTTTTCCGTGAGTTTATATGACAGTTTTCTGTTTTCCCAACGCTTCCTCTGATTTTGGTAGCCTTCGCCAGGTAAAATTAATTATATGCCAATTACGTTCAAGTAGTAATTTCCAGTAGCAATTATTAATAATTGCCTCATTAGGATATTGAATTTTGATTGTGGGTGCTTTCGACAAAAAATCGATTTCTTTACACCAATGGCAACAGCCACTCTTTAGCTGTCATTTCAAGATTCATGATAAATGATAAAAGTAAATTTGAGTCGTTGAACAAATATATTATGTAGAAGTAAATTTAATAATGTTTTTCAATAAGCAAAACTGAAAACAAATAACATGACCAATTAAAACGAATTTCACGGAGAAAAAATGACCAGTTTATTGCCATATCGATTTGTGTTCAACTCCAGAGTAAAAGCTTACACTTCTCCCGCCGATGTGACCGGTAAAACCATCCTAGTTACAACACGTGAAATAAAACAAGCCCAACAACAGTACGGAAGCAAAGAGTATAGGGTCAGTTTTTACTCAGCAAAACGTATTAGTCAAAGCCTTCCGAACTTGAATAAAATTGCTTGTTAGTAGTAGGTAGGCAAATACGAGCGATTGAATAGTAAAACACTACCACCAGATTATGATTAGATATACCTATATATATATAAAAAAAAAACGAAAAGCAGTAAAACCGAAACCATCCCACCCACCATCGGTACTCACCCAGGTTCTCCGAGGAAGCGTTGATGTCCGTCACCCGTGGGCAGCGGCCGGCTCGATTGCTACCACTGCTGGCTCCTCCGCTGCCGCTCGGTGGTTTCGCATTGCCGGGCGAGTGCAGCGATTGGCTCTTATGTCGCCGGATCGTCGGCAGCCGGGCCACGAACGAGGCATTGTGCTTGAAGCTCGAAGACGCCCGCCTGATAAGCGAAATTTGACTCAGTCCATTTCTTCACAATATTGATATTATGGTTTTTGGAAATTGAAGGATATTGGTTTTTGTGTGGGTGTGTATGTGTCAGTATGTTGTAGTTTGGTACATTTTGAAGCAAATACCAGAATTATATAAAAAAAATACGTTGGTAGGTACATGGATAGCAAAGAACAGAACAAAGAGCAATAGCCATTTGGATGCGCAGAGAAAAATAACATTGAAAGCAAGTTTGAACCCACATCAGAAAACAATTTGAACACATTCCAACCACATGATGATATTGATGCACGTGGAGAAAAAGTCGCAGTTGTGTGTACATTGTTCAAGCCACCGTTCGTGTTTGTGTGCGTCACGGAGGCACACGATAGAGGAAAGGATAGGGAAAATTCAATATTTACAATAGTTTGGTTTGTTATCGATGTGATTTAGCGGGGGTTGAACCGTGACATGTGTCCATTGGGTGATGTTTTGATGATTTTGTGATGATCATCAGTTTTGCCCCCGTCGGTGTATGTGTGTATTGGAGTGCACGGTGGAATTTGTTGTGCAAACCGAGAAACGGTTTTTGTTCGGATTTCGCGTTGCGTGTGGGACGTGGTGGTGCGGTTTTTGCCATGTTTGATGAACGCAGGGACACATAGAGGTGAACAGCGGTTTGTGCGATCATTTGCATACAATATGTACATTGGATGGCAGCCATAGGTAATGACAAAACAGCATCGGTCAGTGCGAGAAATACATGGAGACGCACGATGATAACGGTTTTTGCAAGCAGCAGTAGAAAGTAATATCAGTATTATCAGCGGCAGCACAGTAGCAGCAACATAGCGGCAGCGTATTGGATTGATAGAGAAAGATGGCGGTGTTGATTTGATGGATGATTGCCAACAGTGACATGAAAGTAAAAAATAAAGAGACAGAAAAACGAAAAATGAACGTAAAACAATTATGCAAGCTCAACCCGAAAGGAAATCGATGGTTAGTGCGTTGGAAAAACAAACAAATTGAAAGGAGGAAATGAAATGGAAATCGTTCATCGCACGCGATGATGCCTGCAATTGTTAAATATTTATTTTGTTTTTCAATTATGTTTATTGAGTTCTGGAGATGATGAAATGTATGCATTGTTTGAATACAGTTACTCTTCCATATTCATTCGAGGTCAGTTGTATTGATAATACTGTGCGACAAATACATTTTTTTTTCGAGAACTGTGAAGTCCAACCATATTTGATTGATTTGAGATTACAGCCTAGAATGTTCTTATGCCCTAATACGTCACGTTTTTTAGATAGGCTTCCTCTATGAGGTGGGATATTCACAATTTTAGTCATTTACTGCCAACTCACTTATGAGGCATTATTGTTGTTCAAGGATCAGTTGCCAAAAACTGACCCTAGGAACATTCTTCTAAAACATTTGATATCGCTATTTCGATGTTGTACCCTGTCATTTCGGTGATGTTTCTTTTACTTAGGTGGTGTCTTTCAGAAAACGGATCGTCTCCGCACAGCAAAAAAATAATTTTGATATCACATCAAAGTGGATGTACATGAACGTCAAAAATAATTTTGATATCACATCAAAGTGGATGTACATGAATGTCAAAAATATGGTGCAATATTACTTGCCAAAAATGACAAAATTATCATTAAAACAGTGCATGAACTGACATTACGCTGCTTTTACTGCATTTGATTATTTTTGTGGCCATAAAAATTACATGAGATTTTCGACATGATTGAAGTGCATCCTCTTGGATGCAATATTAAAATTTATTTTTTGCTGTGCGTGTTGCAAGCTTGCTGCTCGTATACAATCAGAGCCTAACATTATTTACTGCTTAGGTTGTGTTCGAAACCACACGTATCAATATATTGGCATGAAGTGGATCTATTGACAATAATATTGATGATGTGATGCCGCTCCATTTATGTGCATCACACACAGATAAAATTTCTGAATTTTAATTGTGATGTAAACATTCATTCACGTAGACTTGTATTTCATTTCACGCAACCGAGCAACTTGCAAACAATGTTGTTTAAAAAGATGGGCTTTTGTATACAATATTTGCTACATTGCATGAAATGTCTCAGAACTTTACATGACATATAATGTAAACGTATATGATATGTGACGCTCCATTTATGTGCATCATATTGAACAGAAATTTACACTACTTTTTCGAACTGAGCAGCATGTAATTGAGGATTTTTTCCATAGAGAATGTACGCTCAGTCATTCAAAATACGGATTGGAAGAATAAACGTGCTGACTGAGATACTGACTGAGTGCTCGGCTGTCAGCGACTCGGTTACTTCCCAATAAATCAGACTCTCACGAGACAGTGCAACATGAGGCGGATGGCTGTTTATATTCATACACAGCAAAAAAAATTATTTTGATATCACATCAAAGTGCATGAACTTCAATCGAGTCAAAAATATGGTGTAATATTACTTGCCAAAAAGGACAAAATAATCATTAATACAGTGCATGAACTGACATTACGCTGCTTTTACTGCATTTGTTTATTTTTGTGGCCATAAAAATAACATGGGATTTTCGACATGATTGAACTGCATCCTCTTGGATGTAATATTAAAATTGATGTTTTGCTGTGTATGAAAATGACTCATTGAACCTGACTGTTTTGCGCACTGGTTGCTTAATAAGCAGCCGCAATAAACCTAGTTGGCTATGAAACAACTATATTAAATCAGTGATAAGAACTCAATAAAATCAAACATATAGATCAAGGCCTCCGGCACCTTCAAGCGAAACGTAAATAAGAATTTAAACAAAATTGTTAACATGGGTCTGATTCTGTATAAGAAAGTGCTTCAGCCGGAACGTTCCACAGCCAAGAAACTTAACCAGCTTTAGAGAGTCTACCACCCTACCGGTTTGAACCATCTGGAGCTGCCTTCGTAACGCAGGACAATGCCTAATGATGCGAAAAGTATACTGAACCGGAGCCGACCTGTGCCTCTTATCAAATCTATAGTCCTGAGCGGTCAAAAACAACATTTGACAATCTGCATTAATGGAGCTTCCAGCCTATCGGACGTCTTGTTACGCGATCCGAGAACATTATTCTTCTTATTAACTTTAATGCGAGTCGTTTGACAGCTCAGTGGAGGGCTAGTCCACAGTGTTGTTAATTGTTCATGGAGTACGATCCGTAGATAGGTAAGTTGGTTTCCACTGCGTTAATTATTAAGTTAAGTTAGATTTTAGCATATCAGTATTCATGTCAATTAATGATTTCTGTAAGAATTCAATTTTAAGAGTAGTAATGACATAGAGGTAACTCTAAGACCAGAAGGTCCCGAAGAAACGAGCTCAGCTCTGGTACTATCTTCGGTCCCAAGCTAATCGATGCACCCCTCGAAACATAGGAAAATCCACGAACCCCTTATTTTATCTGTCAAACTTTTATAGCGAATGAAAACAAACATAGTGTAGTACTGGAATGGGGTACGTTAATCGATTTGCTTGGGACCAATAGGCTAGTCAAGTAGTGAGCCAATTTAAAATCGTTAGTTTCGTATTGATTAATGGTAATGCTTCCTAAGTCAAAATTTCCGTTAGAATCATGTTGGCTAGTATTTTGATTTCTACCCGTTACATTTACTTGCTAAACATTGTTAGCAGCAACGGTATAGGTATATAGGTATGGATGAAGAATTTGAAGTAGGGGTGATATTTGTACATACGGGTACGAATGTAGAATTTGTTCCTCGCTGACCGTTGTTAACAACAGAGGAATTTGAAGCTGGTTGGGAACGTGGAGCGTTTCCTACCTGTCCGTTAGAACGAGATTGTGGAATCGATTTGCGTAAGACTCGCATTCCAAAAAATTGGATTTGTGGTTTTCACCACAATTTGAACATTTAAATTTCTTAGGATCTTCTTTCACAGGGCAGTCGTCCTTTACGTGAGAAGAATCACCACAATTAAGCTGGCATGTAGCAATTTTTAGTTCCGTGGCCCATCCCTGGTACTTACGGCACTGGGTGAGGTTTTGGAAATTTCCTCCAGTCTTCCTGAAGTGTTCCCACTTCATTCGGATATGGAGCATAAGACTAGCTTTTTCTAAGGCCTTAAGGTTGATTAGTTCACTAGACTTGAAGTGAACTAAATCAAAATCATTAGAAATCCCGTTGCGCGAATCTCCAGGACGGGATTTCAGTTTCATTTTGATTACTTGAACTGGCACAACTCCAGGTAATTTTGCCAGTTCATCTTTGATCTGATACAGGGATTCACCGCTGGGCAGTCCTTTCATGACAACCTTGAACACATGTTCAGTTTTGGTGTCGTAAGTAAAAAAAATGGTGCCTCTTCTCAGTAAGATACTTTAGAAGACGTTTGAATCCGTTCAAGGTTTCAGCCAATACACGGCATTCAGCCCGACGGCCAATTTGCAGTGAAAACTTGAATTTCACGAAGTTCAAAAGTTCCGTGCGAAGAGCATGGAAATCGGAACACAATAGGGGAATCTTTTCCTTCTTGGCATTAAGCCGGGAAAGATTCCTAGATTTTTCCTGAATGATGGATCATTCTCATCATCCGTGAGCAAATCAAATTGATTGCTCAAATTGATTTCATCAGAAGGGTGATCAAGAGATTGCCCTTTTCTTTTGCGCTTAGGCATTATGGCGGCAGTAAAACTATTATCCAAATCGACTTGCAAGCAGATTACTGTTACTGAAGAAGAACTTTCCAAATCGATATCCAAGCAGGATTACCTCGGGTAGGGTCCAAACAAGGATCGAAGAGGAATAAGAGTCGAACAAGGTAGAAATTTTTCAGGTATATTGAGCACTGAAAAGTGCTGTTTAAACTTGTTGTAGCTTTAGGTAGCAGTAACACTTTTTTCAGCAAAAAACAAATAGATCCGCACGGTATGCGGACAGTATCCATTTCCTTTTATTCTAAAGTTTAAGCTTTGTCTAGTTTCCAAGGCGAAGATACACTCCGCAGGATATTAATATTATCCTTTGTCAA